ATACAGGGAACAATAACAGTCCTTTAGTGAACGCAAGTAAGTTGTATTGAGGGAATTCCTCAAAAACACGATGTTCTTATAAAATATACGACAAAGAAGCCATAAGTGATCTCAGTATACATCAACAATGAAAAAAACCGCAAAAGACTGTCGATTGAAGCAAAAACATTTCTAACTTATAATCTCAACATGAAATCACTCACATTAACGAATTAACTCTCGTCTATAGTTGGCATGTAGGATGCAATGGTTCGGAAGTCTATGGAGCTAAAGCCATTTATACACATTTTCCTATCATTAGGTGCAAACGCAGGGTTGATGCGATCGCAATTTCGCGGCGCAGTTTAAAGGACCATAGAGCATTTTAAAATCCTGAACACCAAACTCAGAACGTAATTTTCCTACAGTTTAATGCATGCGAAGGGAATTATATGAAAATTGGCGTTATGAGGGAAACGAAACAGAAGAACTTACAGATCCCTACACACGCCGCAGATCAGTTCAGCGGCCCTTGCCATGACGAATGTGTGCCGTCGTAATCAGGGTCACGGCTCGATATCTTTTGCAACGAATGTGCTATAGACATTTCGAACTAGCCAATCAGCGTAGTGGCGGCAATTATGTTCTCAGTTGTGTGGTTCTCTTCACCACACGTAGTTCTTCTAGACGCGTAGGTGAGTTAGTACGTCGGAGGTAGAAAGGACCACGAGCCGACTTGGAACATACATACGTATTATGTCGGCACGAGACTGCTCTTCAGTGGCCCCTAATGTGAGTCAGGTAAAAAATAGCCGAGATGTATACCTAGGTTCTGAGTTGTTTAATCGGCTTCGTTGTTTAACATTTGTCGTATCAGAAGCAGAAGCAACAAGCGCACTGCTCTGATGGTGGAAACGAAGAAGTTTCCGAAACGTCAGTTCAAATGCGGTTTGGTCCATGAATTCAGCCTCTCTTCATCGTCTACTTCGAGAGAAGATGAACGCGATACACACACAGGGAATTTCCCCAACTGGTGCAATGATGCAATGCTGATAGTCTATACCAGGATAGCAAACGAATGCGCACGCGTAAAATGGATTCATCTCGGAATCGAAACATATTGCAGGCGATCAGCATAGCTCTCATGTAAGAAGGGGAGGTAGTAGAATAAATTGAGTATGTGGAGCTGGAGGAGGAGGAGTGTTAATCTATATAATTACTTTACGAGTACAATTACCCGATCTCTCACAAACGAAGTGCCGTTAAGAGCCTCCTTAAACGAGCAAGAACTCACTGCTCTAACAACGAAACCTATCAAGCAGAAATGGATTATTTGTTCAAATTGTTTTCCAGAATGGGTATCCTAGATATTTTGTACACCGATGCATGAGACGACAGGAGTTACAGGAAAAAGACAAGGAACTAGATTCTTCCGATCAGGCTCCCAAACCAAAAACTGGCGGACACTTCCGTACATTAAGGATGTGTCCGAACTAGTTGAAAGACACCTGAAGAAGCACCAAATACATGTGGCGCACAACCCGACAAATACACTTCGTAACCAGCTTGTACACCCTAAGGATAGGGTTGGCTATTTAGATAAGAAGGAATTCTTTTAAAAGATAACGTGCAACCCCTGTAATGCTGTTTACTGCGGTCAAACTGGGAAAGTGACCTCTACACGAATACACGAACATCAGTTGACCTTAAAAAGGCGAGATTACTTGTCCTAGGTTGCCATGCATACGCTGGAAACTGGATACAAATTCGCCTGGGACAGGAATCGCATTGTAGGTGTCTGTTCATCTAAGAAGGAACGTGCATTTTTAGAGGCCATCCTTTCTGATAACTCATGCATCCATCGACACGTGTACAAGAGCCTCAAGGAGAAGTGGAAAAGGCATTGGCTAATCAGGACATTACGTCAGCAGGAGTGGCAGGGCAAAATCGATTTTTAGGCATGTTTAAATGTTAACTGTTTTTCACACTTATTTCACATCTGAAGACGACTTGGGGAACCAAGATTGAAAATGTACAATTACAGTTGTTTATCTTGTCCAAAAAACTTATTTCTTTCGAACACACATATATGTATATATCAGAGGGAAGACAACAGTGTCTGGGGTGGTAGACTGATACAGAGCCGTTTCGGGACTGTTTTCCTTCATTCAGCCAACTATAGCCCTGACTTCCTGCCGTGACCAGAAACACAAATACGCACTCAGACACCTGGCGCAGCTGGTCCCAGATAGGAGCCAAGTAGAAAAATAGCCGTGACGTAGACCTAGGTCGAGAGTTGTTCATCTGGCTCCGTTATACAGCATGTTTTACATCAGAAGTGTTTTGGACACACTTGCGGTGCTTCGGGCAATTATTTACCCTTCTGTTTCACCATATATTTATTTGAATTAATTTAAATGTTTACCCGCTGACTAGCATTCGACATTTCGTCATTGTCACACCTATTTGACTTCTCAACACAATAATGATCATGTAAGCATCGTGCATTAGGATGGTCAGGTGGTCTTTAGTTCATTTGCCATTAAGTGCCCTTGTGCTTACAAGAATTTGCGTGATTGTGCGGATCTTTCTACAAATGACAGAAAGGCTTATAAGTCTTCAGCTTCACGGTCTATCGAATGACGAGGGCCAGTAGTAGGTTGGATGGCGGCATGAGCATGGCACAAAGGTCGAGACGAATGCGATTGTGGAAGAGAACTTTGCCGTCCTGCCACCTACCGCACTCAGAGTTATAGTAGTCCAAATTTCGGAGGCATGTGTAGATCGGTAATAGTCAGTAGTAAATACTCCTCATGAGCCCCACACACGCAAAGTGCAGTTTAAATAAACTGCCCTTGAAGCCGAATATTTGACTGTCCTATCGGAGTACTCGACCCACCAAATGAAAAGGCGCTACAGTTTGGACCATATTGTTGGATAAGCTGAAGCAAATTAGCTTCATGGAGATCTACATAAAGGGGGCGGGGGGGCAACCTCTTTATGAATCCAGTCAAACTACTGCCTGATTGTTTAAGATGTCATCGTATCTACCGCGTAGAAATAAGAAACAACAACCCCAGAAGAGTGAATGAATAAGAAATGCAGAAGAGCGTGAGCATCTTAAGTCTTCAGTTTTTGAGTAATTAATTGCGGTATGAACGTACGCTTCAAATGAAGTACACGAGTTCACGAAACCAATCAAAAAACGACTAAAATGAAGGGACCACGAGAGACGGGAAGGTATCGCTTATCCGTATTATTCAAGTTGAGGAGATCGATAGGATGACACCTCGAAGAATTCCACGTACACTGGCTTGAGAGACGGAACACTGTGTTCTCGAAGGAACGTGACAATCCAGTCGGCTTCAACGGGCAGGTTTTGCAAGGGCATGCTAGCATGTTTGAGTAAAAATAAAAGTCGCGGATAAAATGGATCACAAAAATAAACCAGCTACTTGGGTCCAGTCAGTAGCCATACCGATATAACTCTCAGACATTTGCTAAAACGAGGTTCCCTTTTTCAGAAATAATGTCTACACAAACTTTCCTATTTCTTCCAGAAGAGATGCGAATAGGGCTAAGTCCTAGGACTTCAACGACGCAACCATTGAATACTTCCAAAAAGCCCCACTGAGGGACCGAAAAATCGTAGGTGACCACCCGAAATTCTCCTGCTCCACGTTATAGAAATAATCCGCACTGAAAGCCTGCTTGACCATATGCCACTGCATGTGGACGAAAGAATGTTGACGGAAGCGAAGAGTGAATTCCCAAAGCATTGTAAAGCCAGTAAACTGTCTTTCGACCCCGTAAAATGCCCGTACTACCGCCCCCGATCAAACAAATTCCTCAGATACGGTGAAAGGAAACGGATGATATGCCTTCCCAAGGGCCACTTTAAGGAGTTTTGTCCTAGCGAAGATACCCTTGAAAATCAACTGTGCCTCAAGTTGTGAGTCCTTTAGACTCTCGTCCTTGGTTCAACAAAAACGTGATACACACAAACTTCCGTTAGGAATCACTTAAATACCTTAACTGTCTCGAGTTTGAAACTGTTAAGGCTACTGATTTAATCTAAGTAGTTGGTTTACCTTCGTGATCCATTTATCCGCGACTCATATTTTAGTCAAATCCCAGGCTAGCACAAAACGTGGATGAGTAGAGGCATCTGTACACTACTAGAGTAATGATAAAGTGTAAAATGCAAGGGAAATAAATAAATTTACTAGTTTCAATGATAAGCAATCCGCCATAAACCGAGAATGGGCGATTGGAAGACAGGGTAAATCAAGGTACTGGAAAGATGTGACTTTATTGGAAATAATGTCAAAGGAGTCAGGATTTCCAGATGGTTACATTTGAAAGGCCTTCGGCTGCCGGATGATAGACTGTAGTGCGGATGCGAGTAAAGCCTAAAAAGGAGGGAAAAGACTGGAAGAGGTTAGATTCGAACTGTGCACCGCGGTCAATCGTGATGGTGGAGGGGGTATCGAAAGTGGCAACCCAACGACTGAGAAAAGCCTTGATCAGCGATAGAAGCGAAGAGACGGGTCCAGGAAGCAGTCGTGAAGAAGGAGACACGATCGCTGGGACAGGAGTTTTTTTCGCCTGACGTTTCGGATTCCTACTCGAACCCATCGTCAGAGACAATAGCAGATACGGGTGGTTCATGCATAAGGGGCTGCAGTATTCATAGGACGCCGTCGCCATGCTACAGCACACCTTTGAATATTCACGCCTCTCCTCCCTCCCTCTCATCAGGGATCTTTGCCCATGGTGTGATGACTGTTTTTTGGCCGAAATTCGCGTCGTTAATTGCCGCAAACTCATCATGTGCGTTGGATGTTGGTGTGATGATTGCTCGTCCATTTGACCCACCGACCCTGGCCTTGGGAAGAGCGTTCACCTGTGCGCTCCCCGCGTGGCTAATTACTTCGCTGAGGCGAAGTCTCAGCATCGAGTATGGAAGGGGGATGTCGTTGAACTTGTTAATGCACAGCTTGTGGACAGAGGCAGGGGGCCTACGATGTCCAGGTGGACATGACTGAATCGTGCATCCGGAATGGAGAAGGTGCCGATGCGAGCTTTGTTGTACCCATGAAGCTTATTCTGCTGACAGCTGAGACACGCCCATGTCCATGCTTTGAAATCTTTGTGCATCCCAGGCCAGACGAAACGGTCGGAAAGCAGCTTGTCGGTAGCTCAACTCCCACGGTGCGATAGGTCGTGCAGGGAGGGGACGACCTTGCGACGAAGGGCTGGCGGCACAAAGGGACGGGGGAGGTGGTGAAGACGTCGCATAAAGTGATGCTGTTGCCAGTAGTCAGTGGCAGGTCCTGGAGTTGGAGTCCAGAAGCGTCCTCGTCACACGGAGAACGAACATGGCGTTGTTCGGCAGCAATCTCAGCTAGGTCGATCTCGGGAAAAAGTTGGAGATGTGCGATGGAGGGCCTGGACATTACGTCAGCCATCTCATTGTGTGACCCGTCGATGTGGCGGATGTCTAAAGCGAACTGCGAGATGTAGGCCAGTTGATGAATTTCTCGGGTTTTGAGCTTGTCGGAAGTGGACTTGAGAACGAAGGAAGGGGGCATGTGATCCGAGAAGACAGTGAAGTTCCTGCCCTCAAGGAAGTGCGGGAAGTGTTTCGCGGTGGGGAAGACAGCAAGGAGCACCCGTCCAAATGTGCTGTAGCGCGTGCCGGCAGATGATAACTTCTTGGAGTAGAAAGCTGAGGGTTGGGTGTTACCTGCAAGGTGCTGTTGGAGAACCGCGTCTATTGCGACATTGGAGGCGTCAACTATGAGGGAAGTGGGAGTACAGGAATAAAACTGCGTTATTAGGGTGGCGTCGGCCAGTCAGTCATTCAGTCAGTATCAGTCAGTATACTAGGAGTAAATGGCGGAAGCCCAGAAAACTCCATTTAAACGGTACAGGTGTGAAAGACGATATGTAAATTAAAAAAACTTTTGTATGCAGTTTTAGTGTGCAGAATACATAAATATAATAACGGAACATAAATGCGAAAGGGTATGGCATTTGCGAAATAACGGTGAAAAAATAGGTCATTGAATTCGCATTGTAGAAATTTTCATATGGGTCAATGTTAATGCACCCAAAAGGATCTGTTGAATTCAAGTTAGTAGTATGGTAATAGTCATCTCAGTAACCCACTAGATGGGCTGGGGGAGTTCGGGTTGCCTTTCAACAGATAATTATCCAGACGTCTCTTGAACACACGCACGGTAGAGGAATTAACAACATACACCGGCAAAGAATTCCATTGGCGAATGATCCTCTGCGAGGAAAAGGAGGAAACCCTGCTTCCAAGACGCATTTATAACCTATCGACAATTAGACTGATCATTTCCCATGTAAATGTACTGGTCTGATGATGAATTACTGAAAACATACGTTTGCCAATTGACTCTTCAATTGTAATATGGGAATTTTCGCAGAAAAGGTGGAAAGTTGATTTGTGTGGCACAGTTCCTTTTTAATTTGGTAATCGTGTCATCTGAGATAAGACTCTGGTGCCATTTCAAAAATAGTTTTCCAATCGACATCCAGATCAAGTCCTCTTAGCAACTGAGACGCTGCCATGAGGTCACCTCTGTCCTGCCTGTAGTGGAGGGGAAAGAGGTGTAAGGCCGTCAGTCGCTGCTCGTACGCAAGATTTTTGAGTTCATGAACAGCCTTTGCAGCACGTCCCTGTACACCTTCAAGAATATCTATATCCTTCCGAAGCCACGGTCGCCAAGCCTGTACCGCTTATTCCAGGTGCGGCCGCACAAATGCCCCATATACCTTGCCAATGGAATCTGCATTCAAGTTAATAAACGTTCTGCGTATCGCGCTCATGACTGGCGTTGCCGCGCTGCGACTTTCGAACACTGCGTGGTGACGCTTAGATCGTCTTTAATGAATACAGCGGGATCTTTTTGCACATCTACGGTTTTAAGTGGTTGATTGGCAAGAGGATACTGTCGTGTGGGTGCATTTTTTCTTCGCCTTGCTGATATTACGTGCATTACCGCGTATTTTTGACGTTGAATTTCATGCATCATTCCTTGCTCCATGCCCGCAAATTCTTTACGTCCTCTTGCAGTATCATGGCGTCTTTTTCATCTTTTATCACCCTCCAAAATTTACGATCGTCTGCAAAGAAGGCTAGGTCCGATTTCACTTTCCGTACTAGATCACTTACATATATAATGAATAGGAGCGACCAAAGAACTGACTCGTATGTGACTCCACTTTTAACAGGTATCCATTCTGAGCAGTAGTGACTTTTTGTCTACGACCGTTTAAGAAACCTTGAATCCATTTCCGAAGATTGCCTTTCATTCTTACGCCTGACAAAATTTAAACGAGGCGCTTATTAGGAACGCAATCAAACGCCTTGCTGAAATCAAAATATAAGACGTCTACTGGATGCCCTTTATCCATGGCCATCGACCAATGTTCGAGCGACGTAAGCAGGTTTATGAGGCAGAACCTCCTTTCACAGAAGCCGTGCCGAACTGAACTGATGTGACAGCGGAATGCATCGAGCGATTTAATTAAATTTTTATCTATATTTTCCATCAGTTTGCAGCAACTGCATGTCAAACTAATCGGCCGCTATTTGGTGGGATATGACCGTGATCCTCCCTTGTGGATGGGTACGACGTTTGCCATCTTCCATGTGTCAGGAAGTTTGCCAGCTTCCCGCGATTTTTGGAAGATTATACAGAGTAGTTCTGCTGCTACTTCAGCTATTTGACGTAGGAGTACCCTTTAGATCTCGTCTGGTCCAGGCGACTTGGCCGGATCCAGATTTTTTAACTTGGCCAAACTAGATGTCGTGTAAATAATACTGTGTTTATAAGTGGTTGGTTGGCGAACTGCGGCAGAGAACAGGACTGGGGATGATTCAGAAAAATCCTAAAAAAACTCGGCTTTTCTAAAGTCATCGCTCACTATTTGGTTATTTTTGTCCTTTAAGGTTGCAAGATGGTCTCGGTTTCTCGTATTACTCCTGATGTAGGCATGAAATGCTTCAGGTTTTTTCTATACCTCTTCTAGGAGTTTCAGTTCATAAAAAGCACGTACTTTGTGGAGGAGCCATTTGCATAAGATTCATTGTTGCCTAAAGTTTTGAATTTTTTCTGGGCTCCCCGTTTGTAAGGAGACTTTCCACAACTTGCGCTGTTTTCGGATGTTTTCGATGCTGTCCACCATTTCGGTTTGTTTCCGGTCGGATGTTTCTTGAGAGGACGGTATCGTTCAATCAGGTCTCTCATAGTTAATGCGAAGGTTGTCCAGCATTCGTTGACATCTCCTCGTAATGCTTCTGTTCATAGTGTGTGTCCAATCTCTGATTCCATTGCCTCAAATTTACTTCGCCAGACATTTCTTCACGACTGAGCTTCGTTCGGGGACAGCTACGAGTGTTGATTCCCACATTAGCGTCACGTGATCACAAGATCCTAGGGGCGACACACATTTATTTCATCAACACTTTCCTCGCTCTTGGTAAACAGTAGGTTCAGGCAACTAGCTCTCAGGCCTTCACGCATCCGTGTCACAGTTCGTACAAGTTGAAACATAAATTTTATCAAATGCCATGTCTAATAGTCTTTGGTCGGATCCTCGTATGTGGTCCTTAACTGTCAACGAGGGCGTCTGCAGAAAGCTCGAATCAACCTTTGAGACCCGAGAGGAGGATCGTGAACAGCAGGATGGTTTTGGCACAATTCAGGTGGAACCGGCTGTAGAAATCCACCATGTCCAGAAATCGCTGTAGCTGACGTTTGGAAGATGAAGGTGGGAAATCACGGATGGCTGCAAACTTCGATGGAAGAGAATGGATGCCGCTGGGATCAACCAGGTGCTCGAGAATTTCTGGGGAGGCCGCATCGAAGACACACTTGGACGGGTTGAGAAAAACGCCGAATCGTTAAAGGCGGTCAAACACCGCTGTAAGATGCTCCATGTGTTCTTCGACGGTAGAGCTATCTACCAGTAGGTCATCGATATCGGCGTAGACAAGGGATAGACCAAGGAGTACTCTGTCTGCGAACCTTTGGAAGGCCTGAGGGGTGTTGCGGAGTCCAAACGGCATGCCAGGGAGGAATGACATTCAGCTGCTCAGCGGTGTTTACCAAGAAACCCCCGCCACTCCGGTTGTTACTGACGCAGATGGTACGACCAGCGCTAGATCTGCCAGGAAGATTGGCTGCACTAACCTTCGAGCTTATCCGTTTGCTCTGCTGGGAGATGAAGGAGTAAGGATAGATGCAGCTACGGGTGGTGGCTGTTTTGGAGCGAGCTGAATGTGTAGGCTGGACATGCCGGGGGTAGATGACCTCGGTGGGCTCCGAGATGATAAGGAGACTGACAGTTCTTGAAGAGAAGCGATATCTTGAACGATCTTTGAAAGCTCGAACTTCAGGCCCGAAGGAGGAGACGCAGGCGCAATTGAGGAAGTTTAAAGAGCGGAAGGTGAAGACTTGGGAAAACCGCCCATCTCCATGAGCCGTTCGGTCAACTGTGGGACAGAAAGAATGTCAGAAGTGGGTGCCAAAATAAGCCGCACTTCCGGTGGAAAATTACTCATTGTCAAAGCCCGAAAAAAACCGTAGATTAGGCAGACGGAAGGTTGCTGTTCTCAAGGAGTCTCCAATTGTCGAGAGATGGTGTATCGGTCGACAACACAGAGAGTTCCGAATCCGAAGTTAGGGAAGACGGATTGGGTTGGACAACAAAGGTTCTGCAAGCAGTCGCCGCGAACGGTCTCCCCAGGCCAGTTGCATCGTCTGCGTCAGCCCTCAAGGCTCTTGTCCCCCAACTCCGCCAGCCAAACAGAGAAGGGACAGCGTTGATTGGCCGCGAGCACTTGGGAGGCTATTAAAACGCCTCGCGTGAACCCAGCAGTGAATCGACAGCGGGGAGTGAGGCGGACAGAAGGGCAGCGCGATAAAGCGGCGGAGAACAAGGAATCGCAGACTTCCATAGGACACTTGCGCACCCGCTCATTCTTACAATACTAAACCCGGTATCAAGACAGAGTCCAGAAGACGGGGGAGAGAAAAGGACTCAAGTGGCTAGCAGGACATGAAGCCGCGCCTAGGCGTGCCACCACATCCCCTGGTCTACGCGAAAAACCAGGATGCCGCAAGGCATTAAAAGAAGGATGATTTACATTCAAACTGAGTGTGAGTGCCATAAAGGCCACATTGGCAGGTAGCCATTGCAACCTTACTCTCCGTCGTGTGGGGAGAGTTCAGGTATCCTGTCAACTGGCAGTCTTTAAAGTTGCAGCTTTTTGGGCACCCTAACAATTTAAAACGCATCAGATTGCTGATGGTGAGGAATATGTGCTGAGAAAGTCGATTTCACTTACCCCTTCCTCTCCGACACGCGCAAATGACAGCTCGATCGTCGTTGCCGATGATGTCTACTGTGTGCTTCACAGGAGGGACGCTGACTTGCGCGTGAATTAGTTTATACTTAAAGCAGACTTGCGCGGCATCTATCGCACTCCCTCCTCCTTCTCCTTCTCCTCCTCCTCCACAACTTGGGTCGGCCATGACCGGAATGCATGTGGCTAGCAAGGCGAAAGTTCACACCCAGGCGCACCATCAAATCCCCTGGTCAATAACTTCCACTGACCACTTTGTTACACAACACACACACACACACACACACACACACACACATGATAGTTTGACCATCGATTTCGACGATGTCCACCGTGTGCCCAACAGCTGCAGCAGCGGTGGGAGCAGGGACGGTGACTTACGCAGGGGTTTATAGTGCCAGTAGACTTGCGTAGCATCTACCTACACTCTCTCCTCCTCCCCCGCCTGGACCCGGTGTCAAGACAGAGTCAAGAAGACCGGAGACGAGGGAGGCCGCAGGTGGATGGCTGGGACGGATCCTCACCTTGGCGTTCCACCACACCCCCTGGTCCACACAACAATAACCAGGATTTCAACCAACACAACACGGCTGGCACGGCCGAAGCCGCACCTAGGCGTGCCGCCAACGCCTGGCTCGGATCCCACACTGTGGTAGGAGTGCCATAAAGGCCACATTAAAAAGGAGCCATTGCAGCCTGACTCTCAGACCGCCTCCAGTGAAGGAGGAGGTCCAAGGTACCCCGTCAGTTGGCAACCTTCCAAGCCACGGCTTTTAGCGCACCGTGATAGCTTCAAGCGCGTCAGATTGATTATAGTGAGGAAAATGCGCTGAGTCGTCGACCTCACTCTCCCTTCCCATTACCACACCCCAGCCACTGTCCGAGCCGGTCAGTAGACTGGAGTGGGGAATGGGCGCGGTGGCTGACATGGTCGACTGACCATGCCTGCGCGCGCCACAGCACGACCTGGCCCCCCATACACACACAAACACCAGGATTTCACACAACGGGGGTTGAACGGCGTGTCTCTCACATGCGTGAGAGGGCCGTGGAAGGTGCTGCTCCAGCCCGTCCCCAGCCCACCAGTCCGCCACTCCACACAACACACACACACAACGTGACGAACTGCGTGAACCGAGAACGGGCGTCAATCAGCAACTTTCCTTTCCACGACACTTGACGTGTCGGGATAGTCTCGGACTCAAGTCACTCGTGCAGCCGAGGCCGCATGGGGACCGAGTCGAGATGCACACTTCCCACTTGCGTGGGAGGCGGCAGTTGAGTGCATGAGGTGTGTGAGGGTTGACGTCTAGTGGGGTGATGATGTTAGGAGGTAGGGAGTGAGGGAATGTGTGGTGTGACCTGCGGTTGTCTACCGCAGGTTGTTGTGGATGCGCATGTGGCCGAATAGACCCATGCGATTCGTGAAGGTGCGAGGGCCGTTTGGGCAGCGGAGGCGAGTGCGGTGGGTGTAGGTTGGTGCTCCAGGCACTGGTTCGCCAGTCTCTGTGCGATGGATTCGCAAGTGACCGACCAGGCCGATGCGTGAGGTGAAGGTGCGTGGACAATGTGGGCATGAGAGGTCGGCGGTGTCGGTGTCAGCTGTAGAGGAAGCAGTGGTGTTGGTGGTGGCGGTGGTGGTGGTCGGCGCGTGTGACGGTGGGGCGAGGTTGGGTCTGGGCGTGGTGGATGTGTTGGATGTCGTGGCTGTATCGGAATTGTGGTCAATTCCGCTCTCGTGGATGCGCATGTGGCCGAATAGACCCATGCGATGCGTGAAGGTGCGAGGGCAGTGTGGGCAGTGGAGGCGAGTGCGGTGAGTGTAGGTTGGTGCTCCAGGCACTGGTTCGCCAGACTCTGTGCGATGGATTCGCAAGTGACCGACCAGGCCGTTGTGTGAGTTGAAGGTGCGGTCGCAGTGAGGGCAGGTGGGGGTGGTTGCGGTTGCTTTGTAGGGGTTGGCGATGTGTGAGACGGCAGCCTGAAACAGTACTCTGCATCCCCGAAGGAAGCAGTGCCCTGACCCCTGAATAGGGGCTGCTTGATGTGCCGGCGCGGCCGAACTCCACTGTGGGCCACGAGTTTTTTTGGCAGTGGAAGAACGACTCGAATTTGCCAATGGCTTACGGCATTGCCGCAAGCCTGCGGTCTCCTACGTTGCACCAGATGGGCGCGTGTCGACGGTGCCAATTCGGAGATCCATCCCACCGGCTGATCAACGGCGTACCAGGCGGAGCCTCGTCTAGACGATGCCGATGTGACGTTCCACCACCAACCGGCTGACCAGCGGTGTGTCAGACAGAGCCTCGTCACGACGGCGCCGACGCGGTGTTCCATCCGACCAACCGTCAACGGAGTCCGCAGTCACCTGTGCACGCGGCACAACGCGCACAGGGAGTAACCGCCCTCACCTGGTTTAGCCCGCCGGTCGAGACGGTTGCCCGGGGTGTGGCCGCTGAGCAGAGCCCAGCTACGTGGAGCCACAGGTGAGAGTTGAGTGCCAGCAAGTGGACGCTAGGCGTAGTCTCACCTGCAAGCAAGTGAGCGACCACTGCGACCTTCACGTGAACCCACCGCTGACACCCCTACACCCCGCCCGAAACAGTACTCTGCATCCCACACACACTCTCTACCCCTTACGAGACTGGAACCGATATCGAGACAGAATCAAGCAGACTGGGGGTCGGATGAGGGCGAAAACCCAAAAAATAGGCGTAGCCCCATACTTCCTGGTCCACAACAAACTCTTGACCAGAATTTTAACTAACAACAAAAACGGGAGGGGGCATCAGGGTGTAGCGGCCAGCCATCATGACCGGTCTGGCGTCATTGCTTAAGGCCTCGCTGCCTCAAGGTCATTCACCCTTTTGCAGTGAGCCGTTCCAGACGTGCTGACCTGAAGTCACAGGTATGCTCGGGCATACCTGCATCCCCACAGCCGCAGCTGCCCGTGCGCCACTTGAACGTACCTCCCCCCTGCAACCGCAACCTAAGTCACTGGGACACCACCCCTCGGAAAATGCAACACACACCGACTGGGCACTACTTGAGCTTGGCCCACGAGCCTACAAAAACGGCTGCCACCACTGTCCCATGGACTCTAAGGCATGACTGCACGCAGCCAACACCAGCCACTGGCTTCGCCAGTGGCCACTGTCGCCTGAGATGTCAACTCCGGGTTCTCAGTATCAGTATCAGTATCAGTTTATTAAGGGAAATATAGGCAAGCGCCTTTGAACTCCCTCTTGGTTACAAGTCGTCGGAGAAAAACATTGATAAATGGGAAGGTGAAAAAGGGATTTTGTACATACTCGCGGACAGCTGGCAGCTAGTCGAAAAATAGTAATCATTAACGGTTACTTACTAATTACAAGTAGTATAAACACATATCAGATGGTACCGGGTTATGTGAGTGGATGTGGGGGTGGTAATTGGGAAGCTTGATGCAGGTCAAGTCTACACTTGAAGGAGTTCATACAGGAAGAGGTTACAACATCGGTAGGCAGGGCATTCCAGGCTGCAACCACTCGGTTACTGAAAAAGGACTTTCGTCCATTGGTTCTTGATTTCCCTGCGCGTAGTTTTAGGGGATGACCGCGCAAAGTGGGCGTGTTAGCTTGGGTGAAATAATCAGTGGGATCTAAACAATAGTCTAGGCTGTTGATGATGCGAAATGTTAGTATAAGGTCACCACGTAATTGCCTGTAGGAAAGGGGAAACAGGTTGAGGATTGACAGTCTGGTTTCATAGGGCAGTGCTCCCAGACCTTGTGTCATTTTGGTCGCCCGTCTCTGGACCTTCTCCAAGACGGTATAATCCTTGGCAGTCCAGGGTCTCCACGCCTGTATGGCGTATTCTAGATGAGGTCGCACGAAGGTGCCAAATATTTTGGAAAAGCAGTCAGGGTCAAATCCCATAAATGCTCGCCTAGTGAGTTGCAATGTGGCCGTAGCCGATTTAGCCGCCTTCGCGCAGTGCAGTGTTGGTTTGAGTGACGATGTAATCCATACACCCAGGTCCTTCTGACTGTCAACCTGTTGCAGTGGTGTGCCATGTAGAAAGTAGGTCCTGGGGCTGGGGGTTCTGAAGCCGCCGAGTTGAAGAAAGTTACACTTGCTTATATTGAAGGGCATAAGCCAGCGCTTCGACCAGTCTTCGATCCTGTTCAAGTTTGCTTGCAGGTGGTCTGCGTCTGCCGCATCGTGAATAACTTTCCACAATTTTATGTCGTCGGTAAACAGGATGGCATCACAGTCTAGGTCCTTGACGCAGTTATTTATGAAAACAATAAACCCCTCATTCTGGTGCCCTCCGTCTCTTCTCTTTCCAATCAGAGATTCCACCAGGCGACGGTAGCGCACAGCCCACCACCTCATGGTTACCACAAGGGATCTCAAATGGCGCCGCCGCATCCAAGTATTGCATTTGTCATGGATGCGTATTCCTGGTAGTGCCTGTCGACCCCCTGCGTTGGTCCAGTGCATCTACCGCGTGGCGCGCGCGTACACAGACACACGCACTTGGGCTTGACGTGCGCACTTACCGAAGACATTGTTGCGCATCGGCACATGACGCGCATTGTTTGACTGAACTAGCTTATTTGCATTATTCGCTGTTGCTGCTCCCATTAGAGACGGCTGATCAATATCTATTGCGCATGAGTCGGCGGAGTGAAAGCACAAGCTTTACGCCGTAAGCTGCATGTCCAACTTGCAGCCTATTGGTGCTTGCAACAACAACAACAACAACAATCACATCTGATTCAGTCAGTGCATGCCAGCGGATAAAGGAGCAGGGCGTCACGATTGACTAACGTTCACAGCTGCGGAGGGTCAATGTAACGATCCCGATTGGGCTACCTAGCCTTCAACCGGAATTGCCAAGGATACTGAACCTTCCAGGGCAATCGAAATAAGAACTACTCTACCGGGCTTTCACGTCCTGAAAGCGGTAACGCGCCTTGTCACATTCTGTTGGGACAGTCGATGTACTTTACCATATCCTTGGCGTCGCCGCCTATTCGTCCGACTCAGGAGGGGCCACTTATCGCACTCGCTGGAATTCTGATTAAAGGTCGGTCACCCATCTGCCTACCGTGAAAGCGTCGGGTAGTGGGCAGATAGTGTAGCAGCCGCTCCAGCCCCCCTTTTCTCCGGCTCCGTTTTGTCGGTCGATGGCCGCGATAAGCACTGACAGGCCGCTGACACACGACCACCCCCGCCGGCTAGAACTGGGAGACCTCCGGTCCAGCTGCAGCGAACCCCGGCTGCACTCACAAACTAGTATCGCCTAACGCGCGTCGAACGCTCTGGCTTGATTCGCGTGAGGCCTTGTGAGTATGCGCCCTCCATTCGTCCCCTAACTTGTCCAATCACACGACCACCACGCAGACAGTCACCCCCTCCTGCTGACCTAGACACTCACACCCGCGTAAACAAGACACACCGTGACTGACGCTCTCCGTGAACGGACGCTTTTCTCTGTTGCAAGCAAATCGCTAACTTACGGCAACCTGCCCTGTGTACAGAATAAACTAGTCCTCACAGCTCCCTGACTTCTGACAGTGGACGAAACGAACTTATTGTGCGTGGTTTAAGTCGATCTCACATCCTTGACCGCCACAATAGATCAAAACGCAGGCTGCATACATGAAGAGCGGACACTCTAGACTTCTCGGTGTACCAGCGGCTAACATCAGCATCACTACAACTATTGATCGGGTAAACCCGCCCACCAACAGCGGGGGTTTTTACGGCCTGCCCAGTCTGGCTTCTGTTCATACAGTCCCAGAAGGAAGCCGGCGAGGGCCGCTGCATCACTATTATATACCTCAGACGTCAGAGGCAACCACAAGGTCGGAGTTCTAATGGGGAAGTGGCACAAAGAAAATACCAATCATTGCCCTACATGCAAGGAATTTCCGAAGTTATAGCCCAACAATTAATCCGGTTTGGCATCTGCATTGCCTGCAAGACGGCGTACTGCTTACGCGCAGTAGTATCCCGGGCGAAGGACACCATACCCAAAGAACAGCAAACTAACGTCATTTACCGTATTCCGTGCATTTGTATTGGTCACACGGGTCGACACCTTGGGACTCGTACTTGCGAACACTATGCCGCGACGTGACTCCTTATCTATCGTGCTTGCGCACTCTCTTGATAGGAACCATCACGTCACAATTGGGACGGCACTGAAGTGGTCGTCATCCACGCTGCCGAGAACAATACCGTTAGTACGTCTCACATTCACTCAGTCTAACGCGGAAGGGAGCACTTGTAGTGGCCCTACTCCGAGTGCCTGTCTCAACCCTGGGCCTCTCGCGATTGTCTGCACGAACGCACCAGGGCTGTCTAGCATTCGTCCAACCGACCAGTCAAATTCGAGGCTGAGTCAAACGTGGCCGGACAGCCACGCAGGCGGCATCGGCGGGCCAGGCATCAAACACAGTGTGCCATATGAGGAGAGCTGTGTGCATGACCTCTCAATATCTGAAGATGGGTGGAAGAAAAGACTGCTCGAAACGTCAGACCTCCAATACATCTATCTATGTATTGTATAACTTTGTATAACACATTGTCGAAATGATTGAAATTCACTGCGTGTCCCAGGAAGTGAACACGCCATCCGTGACTTGTACAGCATTCACTGTAGAGACTCTTCCCTTACGCATCCTGCTCCGAGGACAAGACCCTTTTAAGCTTACTGGAGGTGGGCGCAGACAGAGTGGCTGACGATGCTAGAGACCCCGCCTACGCGTCCGGCACACATGACCTAATTTCCGCCTTAAGTGCCAGTGCGGCGCAGACTTCACTCACGAGAAAGTGTCCTAAAGCCCTCATTAGGCAGGAGCCATTGCAGCCTGACTCCGTTCTCCTGTCAGTTGGCAGGCTTCCATGCGGTATGTCTTAACGAGTTGCCACTGACTGACGTGCATCATATTTATTAGAAGTAAGACATGCTTTGATGTGTCATAAGGCTGGATCTCCTTGGTTGTCCCCTCTCTTTGCGATGCGCCAGTCGACTGTCTGATTCTGTCGACCACCTGGTAATGGAATTGAATGCAGTGGCCGACGTGATGTGAAAGCCAAAGTCAAAGGCATGCCACTGGTGCGTATGTTTTGCGGGAAGCCATCATGGCCGGCTTGGCGTCGTTATTCAAAGCCTCGCTGCCTCAAGGTCATTCACCCCTTGCAGCGAGCCGTTCCAGACGTACTAACCTGCAGCCAACCGACCGGCTTCCACTCTGACGAATGTGCGTCCGCAGACAGTCGCAGCTGCCCATGCGCCACTCGAACGCGCCACCCACCCCCACCCTGTCCTGCAACCAGCATCCT